CTCTTCATAGCAGATACAAATATTTTTTAAATTAATTAATTAGTTTTAGAGAGGGAAGGGAGGGAGAAAGAGACACACACACACACACACACACACACACACACACACACACACACACACATCAATGTGTGGTTGCTGGGGGCCGTGGCCTGCAACCCAGGCATGTGCCCTGACTGGGAATCGAACCTGCGACGCTTTGGTTCGCAACCTGCGCTCAATCCACTGAGCTACACCAGCCAGGGCTAGATACAAATATTCAAGAGCACGGAAGCAGTATATAAGCATTTCCTAATCGTATGTGACCAATTTCCTAAATGTATGTTAAATCCTTTTATGACGAGCATTCTGCAAGACTGGTGGTTTTCCACCAAACACCCTTTGGAAAATGCCACTATGCATTTGACTTTTACATTTAGGTATGTGATCTATTGAGTTAATTTTGTGAAGAATGTTAAGGTCTGCATCTAGATTCATAATAAACAAGGATACTTTTAAAAGTAAGATGTCAGAAACAATAAGCTCAATACAAAGTTGAAAGATACAGTCAAGAAAAGCTTCAAGAAAGTGGAGCAAAAGACAAAGAGAATAGGAATACAGAAAGTTAAGAATATTAGAGGAGTTCAAGAGGTTCAACATCTGAGTAACATGCATGCCAGAAAGAGTGGACAGAGAAAAAGGAGAAAATCACTGATGAATGAATTTTTAGAAATTTCAAGAAACTAAGGAATGAAATGGGAATCCTAAGTGTCCACCATTGTAGGTAAAATTACTCACACCTTAGGTGAAATTTCAGAATATTGGGTATGAAGAGAAGCTTCAAAGAGAATAAACAAAGAGAATAAACAGGTTCTATACAAAACTAAAGAAGTAAATATAAGAAATATTTACATGGGAAAACAAAGACATGGAAAGTAGCAAACTGAGGATAATACAAATAATACAGAAGACTGGTGAAGAGGATGTCAAGAAATTCCAAAGCCTCCAGAACAGATTTCTTTTAGAGTTCAATGGACAGGATATACAATGTACTTGAACATAAAGAGAGATGTATACAGTAGTAAGATAGTTTAAGGTTGAATAAATACATAGTGAAATAAACCTGTAATAAAAAACTAACAAGATTTACTCTGAAATAAAAATGTGCAGCAAAGGAAAAGTAATCATAGTACATTGCATGTCTCTATTGAGAAGAGCAATTAACAAGTTACTATAACAAAATACTGAATTTCAACCTAATCAAAATATAGGGTATTGATACAGTACTAAGATAGGGAAGTACCTGTGAGTGGATAAGGGGCTAGGATATTAAGAAGAATTAAATCTTCATCTTCTAAATTGGGTTATTAGTTGAAAAATGCCTAAAGCTAAAAAATGGCAATACTATACCCTAAGAACCTTGAAACACCAATTCAAAAGGACCTATGCATCCCAATGTTCATAGCAGAGCACTTTACAATAGCCAAGTGCTGGAAACAGTCTTAAGTGCCCACCAGTAAATGAGTGGGTCAAAAAACTGGTACATTTACACAATGGAATACTATGCAGCAGACAGAAGAAGAAACTCCTACCCTTCTCGACAGCATGGATGGAACTGGAGAGTATTATGCTAAGTGAAATAAGCCAGATAATGAGAGACAAATACCATATGATCTCAGCTATAAGTCAAACCCAATTAACAAAACAAACAAGTGAGCAAAATAGAACCAGAGACATGGAAATAAAGAACAAACTGACAGTGGCCAGAGGGGAGGAGGAGGGGATAACGGGGCAAAGAATGGAAAGGGTCATCATGGAACATGTATAAAGGACCCACGGACAAAGACAACTGGGGTGGGTGGGGCAGGGGGAGAGTAATTGGGGAAAAATGAGGACAACTGTAATTGCACAACAATAAAAAATGAAAAAAATTAAGACAGGTTATAAAAACATTCCATTTTCTTATATGGAGGTAAGTGAAAGTATCAGCTAAATTAAAAGTGATTGGGCCAAGATGGAGGCATAGGTAGACACACAGTGCCTCCTTGTACAACCAAAAGAAGGCAACAACAACTTAAAAACAAAAAAACAACAACCAGAACTCACAGAAAATTGAACTGTATGGAAGTCTGACAACCAAGGAATTGAAGAAACATTCATCCAGACCAGTAGGAGGTGTGGAGTTGGGCAGTGGGCAGAGAGGACTCGCAGCAAGGCATCAGCTGGTGGACTGGTGAGGCAGCAGATTGTGGAGTGGGGCGGGCAAGGCTGCAGCTGGCTGGCAAGGTGGCAGCTGGAGGACCCAGTGTGGCGGCAGCTGGTGGAGCGGGTGGTCCCACATTTGTGTGCAGATAAACCGGAGGAACAAATGGGGAGCAAGAAAGACCACGCAACCCAGGGTACCAGCTCGGGGAAATAAAGCTTCAAACCTCTGACTGAAAACACTGGTGGGGGTTGAGGAAGCAGGAGAAACTCCCAGCCTCATAGGAGAATTTGTTGGAGAGACCCACAGGGTCCTAGAACTTACATAAACCCACCCACCCAGGGATCAGCACCAGAAGGGCCCAATTTGATTGTGGATAGCAGAAGTGACTGAAAACTGACAGAGAACGCAGCAGGCGGTATTGTTCCCTCTCAGACCCCTCCCCCACAAACAGCATCACGATGGAGCAATGCGGGTTTCCCCACCCTGGTGAACACCTAAGGTTCCACTCCTTACTACTTAACAGGCATGCTGAGACAAAAAACAAATAAACAAAAAAAATGGCCCAAATGAAAGAACAGATTAAAGCTCCAGAAAAAATACAACTAAGTGACAAAGAGATAGCTAACCTATCAGATGCACAGTTCAAAACACTGGTAATCAGGAAGCTCATGGAATTGGTTGAATTTTGCCACAAATTACATGAAAAAAAGAAGGCTATGTTAAGTGAAATAAAGGAAAATGTACAGAGAACCAACAGTGACAGGAAGGAAACTGGGGCTCAAATCAACAGTGTGGACCACAAGGAAATGTTCAACTAGAAAAGAATGAAGAAACAAGAATTCAAAAAAATGAGGAGAGGCTTAGGAACCTGCAGAACATCTTGAAATGTTCCAACATCTGAATCATAGGGGTACCAGAAGGAGAAGAGGAAGAGCAAGAAATTGAAAACTTATTTGAACAAATAACGAAGGAGAACTTTGCCAATCTGCAAAGGCAATAGACTTCCAGGAAGTCCAGGGAGCTCAGAGAATCCCAAAGAAGTTGGACCCAAGGAAGAACACACCAAGGCACATCATAATTACATTAGCCAAGATTAAAGATAAGGAGAGAATCTTAAAAGCAGCAAGAGAAAAGGAGACAGTTACCTACAAAGGAGTTCCCATCAGACTGTCAGCTGATTTCTCAAAAGAGACCTTGCAGGCAAGAAGGGGCTGGAAAGAAGTATTCCAAGTCATGAAAGGCAAGGACCTACATCCCAGATTGCTCTATCCAGCAAAGCTTTCATTTAGAATGGAAGGGCAGATAAAGTGCTTCTCAGATAAGATCAAGTTAAAGGAGTTCATCATCACCAAGCCCTTATTTTATGAAATGTAAAGGGACTTATCTGAGAAAAAGAAGATAAAAAAACATGTATAGTAAAATGACAGCAAATTCACAATTATTAACAACCACACCTAAAACAAAAACAAAAAGAAACTAAGCAAACAACTAGAACAGGAACAGAACCACAGAAATGGAGATCACATGGAGGGTTAGCAACAGGGGAGTGGAGGGAAGAGGGAGGGGGAAAGGGTATGGAGAATAAGTAGCATAGATGGTAGGTAGAAAATAGACAGGAGAAGGCAGGAATAGTATGGGAAACGTAGAAGCTAAAGGACTTATGACACATGGATATGAACTAAAGGGGGGGAATGTGGGTGGGAGAGGGTGTGCAGGGTAGAGGGGAATAAAGGGGGGAAAATGGGGCAATTGTAATAGCATAATCAGTAAAATATATTTTTAAAAAACAATTGTTTTTGGTGAGCAGTAAATAATAGGGAATGGGGGGGTCTGTTTGCTTTCATTTTTATAATAATTCTTGTAAAGTTAATTTTCTTTTAGACTATGAGCATATAATAATTTTTAAAAAGTGTTGTGTGGTTAAAAAAGTAAAAGGTAGATAATGAAGAATATAGTTGAGTCTTTATATCCTATAGACTCCATCAAAACACTACTTGAACTGGTATTTTTAATTGAGCTATTGATATTTTATGTTTTAGCAGCAAAATACCAAAGTTAATTGCTAAAAAAAATAATATAGTGTGGAACGTAGCTTTTAATTTACAATAGTTTTTATTGTTAACATTTGAAGGGACTCTAAGGCTCAGAAAGGGAAGTGACTTCAAATCTCATGACATGCCCCCAAGATGCCTGTATACCTGCTTGGTTTACCCCACATCATTCTAGGTGCCACTTAGGTGCCTTTTCAACAATAAGTAGAAGACCCATAGCAGCAGAATCTCCATGACCATGCCTCACTATTCCATTTAAGTAAAGCTGACCATCTCTTCTGACAGTCCCATCCTTGGCCTAAATCTCACAGCCTAGGAAAAATGGGAACTAACTTTGTATCCAGTGCCTGCTCTTGGCCAAGCTATGGCAGATTTTATTGATCATGATGTCACCATTCCCCAGTTGGACCTTGGCTCATTCTGTGTGATCTTGAGCAGTGGCAGGATTATTGTAATGCTGGAAGGGTTCTGGAAGGAATCACTAAGAATGGGGCACCCTGAACTGGAAAGGATTTGTAATATTATAAACTGGGCCACCCCACCTCCCCAACTCTGAGTTCACAGACTATCTATCCAAGACTCTTTGATTGTTTTTGACAGGATGGAGATGTCTCTGAAGCTATTTCAAATGCCAAAGATAATTTTTTTTTTAAAAAGATCCTATTTAGGTTTACAAATGGATAGGGGACTAATTATTGGGGCAAAATGAGAAAGTGCAGACACAGGGGCCTGGGGCTATTGCAGCTAGTACCGTGATCTGCTCTTACCTGTGGGGGCCTGCATGGCTGAGCTGGGGATGGTGGCAGCATCTTGGGGTACAGTGCTGGTGTCCGGTTCAGGGGTGCTGGTTGTTGGTGAGGTGGGTGGTGGGTTCATCAAAGTCCGAGGTTTCCTCTGTCAAAATGGATGGGGAAAAGTTTGCTATCCATGATGGTAACTTGTCTTCTCATTCCCCTATTTCTAGCCCTTAATTCACCCATGAAACAAAAATATATTTGTAGATGGGACTGTATTTTATCTTTGTTCTATACACAGCATCCTGTCCAAAGCTGTACATATAAGAGATGCTTAGTAAATATTTTCTGAATCAATGAACAATATTCTGGGCTTCTGTACAGCCAGAGATTAATTCACTGTCTTTAATGTTTACTTTCTCTTTCCTGAAAAGTGGAAATGTCCCTTCCTCTAATTCTACAAACTACTTTCCTCTGCCTACCTCTTGGGTTCATTATCTGCCACTTATTATCTTCAACCTTATACTCTAGTAATCTCTAACTGTATTACTTCTCTAAAAAAACCATGCCTGGTCTATACCTTTATAATAATAGACTGTTCCTTCTGTTTGAAATGACCTTTCATTTTTTTTAATCTTACAAATATTTGTTTATCCAGGAAATGTTTCTAGATTTTCTCTAGTTACTATCTCTTTTGTGCTATCTCTGTTCTTTGTATTGTTGCTATCTCTGTCACAATGTATTGTCATTATATATATTTATAAAAGCATATGCTATTAGCCTGGAGCGCCCTGAGAGTCTGATTTTGATATGATTGCTAGCATGATACTTGACATATACGTGTCAATAATGTTTTCCATGAAGCATACAGTATAGAATATCAATGATGGGGGAAGTAAAAAAATGATTTGAGAGACATCTAAAATCTTTCCTATGGTGATCAGGGCAGCCTTTGGGAGAGAAGGATCTCAGAAGATTCTTGCCAAGATAAAGTTTTCTAAAAGCCTTTCTAATGCAAGTAAAACAATCATCATCAAGGTCCAGAAGTCCCTTCTTTACTAAATGCCACGTAGGGTCCACTGCTGGGAGCTGTATAGACCTGTCTGCCTCCTAGGGGTATTATCATCTAAAGAGGTAGCACCCATGACAGCAAACATATACTGTAAGATGGCCTTGCCTATGAAAGTAGTCACACAAACACGTACAAAACCATACATGGGACATGGACACCTCCTCATATTTTTTGACATTGCTAAAAGTAAAAATCCAAATAAACAATGAGTCAGGGCAGAAAGGAATACCAGGTTCAACTTCACTGAGTTGGTGGTAGGATTTCATGAGGTCCCTGAAGGAATAATCCTGGTTAGTTAGGTGACTAAATATTGTAGAAGAAACCAGGAAAATGGAAGACATTACATATTACTATTTGAGATAGGTGCAATTACATGTATTATATCTATTCATATATTACCTCATCTCTATTTTATTGATGAGAAAACTGGGGCTCACAGCCTTACTCAGAATTTCCCAAAATCCTACAGGTGGTAACAAATGGAGGTAGGATATAAAACAAAGTATGTCTGGTTTCAAAGCCTCTAGTCACACGACCACTTTGCTTCAGAAAGGAATATAAAGGTTATGGGTTAAAATGAAAGGATATACACTTATAGCAGTAGGCAAAAATAACAGGAAGGAGAATTAGGGAGTCAAATACCAGGCTATTAAAATATAGAATAAGAGGAGAATTATTTTCTTCAAGAGGCTGGAAAGAAAGATGACTTATGTTTGGGACTGCCTGAAGAAGCAGAGGAGAGATAATCATAGAGTCATAATTCTTAGGTTTTGAAGGATCTTAAAGGTTATTTAATCCAACCATCCATCCAGTATGTCTGCTTCCTTGTCCCTGAAAACATCCCTCCCATACAGTCGTCTAACCCGTCCTTGATGAAATACCTCTAATAATGGGAGATCACTACTGCTACAGGGTCTGGCAGAAATAATGTCCCCCTTTTATTACAAAATCATCAGCATGAAATTTTGTAACATAACAATATCACACTCAAGCATACCATATGACATTTCAGGTGAAATGCTCAAATTAAAACTATAAATTATTACACTCACATTATTACCTTACCAACCACACTTGAGCAGGCCTTACTTCTGCCAGACCCTGTATTTTAGACTGGATTTAACTGTTTCTTTATCCTGAGATAAAGCCTGTCTGCTTGAGTTTCTGCTTATTTAGTTCTGGTTCTGTCTTCAGAACCTCACAGACAAATTTTCTCCCTCTTTAATCTGACTATCTTCAAGATGTCTTCACATCGTCAAAAGCACAGCTTCTCTGGCCTTGCGCTTCTAGGGCTTTCAGCCTCTCCTTCACAACATGAGAATTAGAAAGAGTTATGGAGACAAAAGTAAATCAGGACCTGGGCCAAGGGTTAGTGGTAGTAGGTCAGGAGCGTTATGTGTTACATACAAAGACTAGGATGTGACATCGAGAATTCAAAGCCAGTAAATGAGAGACGATCTCAATTAGAACATCATCACTCAAACCATCCATCCACCCACCCTGCATATACTGAACATCTCTCAAGAGACTGATATATAAGGCACTGCCAGAGAAAGAGAGAAGAAAAAGATTAGGTTCCTAACTTTGAGGAGTTTATATTCTAGGACTGAAGTCAGCTGGAGCTAATAAACAAAAGAAAACCAAGCAACCAACCAAGCAACCAACAAAACCTAGGGAAGATCTTAGGAGACTGGAATGGAGTTCCCAGGAGAACTGGGCATCATCTCCATGGTGGAAGTCAGGCAGTCTAGTTCAGGAAGGAGCTGCAGAGAAATTCAGAACAGGAAGGAAGGGAGTGTGGAAGGTGATGCCAAAGGAAGCCCCAGAGAAGCCACTGAGGAACTTTCACATCAATGGTTTCCCTAGGGAATATATGCATGAAGAACTGGTCATGACTTAAAGGTGGTACTTTTAGGGACAATGCTCAGTGAAGCTCGACTCAGCAGTCTTTTCCTACACTAAAGGTAAGTGTTAGCTCCCTCAAAAAATGCGAGGGAGTGGATGTGTGGTAGGGCAGCAGTGACATTGAAACTAGACAATCTGCGGACACAGCTCTGCAGCCTTTGCTGTTTATTAGCTACGTGGCCATAGGGAGGTCATTTCACATCTGTAAGTCCCAATTTACTTAACTCTTAAATAACATTAACATCTTCTTCTATGGTTTTGTCAAAATTATGTGATATGTAATGGGGTCTGATACAGAACCTTATGCTTAGTAGGTATTTGATAGTTGTTTTTTTTTTTAAAGGAGGGGCAGGAATAGAAAAAAACACATTTACGAAATCAATTTCCTCTTTTTGTTTACATGCCTAGGCATTTACTTTGGGTAGGTTAACAATCAGGAGCAGGGCCTTCCATCTATGGAGGACATTAGGTCGGAATTCCCTTGAATGAGAGTAATTTTCAAAGTCAAAATTCGTTTCTTATCCACATCACACTATGTCTAATGTTACCAACTCCCAGATAAGTAGCTAAGTAGGGAGGACAACCTAGGAGATTTCTCTTAAGTGCATACACAAGGTGGAGAATAGGGCTGGACATGCCCCTTTCCAAGATGGAAGGATATGGATGAGTTGCCTCTTTATAACCCTTTATTCCTTTCTGAGAAACCCACATTTTTACCTACCTTACTGCCAGGTTTGGGACCCCTCTTCTTTGGGAATTTCAAAGGTTCAGCTGACTTAGATGGGGTGGCGATGGGATGGGGAATGAGGGGCTTGGGTGTCCGGCCCCGCTTCTTTCCTGGTTTACGCCCTCTCTGCCCTGGTTGATGCTCCAAGTCAGTTTTGGTGCTGCAGTGGATGCTGGGCTTCTCAGTGTTCACATCAGATGCAGGACAGGGACTCTTTGGAATCACAACTGCAAGAAAAAGACTTATTCTATCGCCCCCTCCTCCCACCTGTATTCCCATCCCAGCCAGAGGGAAAAAAGACTTGCTACTAGTCTTGCTACTATTTTCCTGGCATCTGACCTAAATATTGGAAAACCTCAGAGGAGAACTGAGGTTAGGTTGGCTAGAATTGGAAGTTTTAATTATTTCTGGCAGGTGCAGTAGAAAAAATATTAAAAATTTCTCCCCAAGGCATCAAGTTAAAGCACATAAACAGAACCACAGGGATACAATCCTTTCCTTCTAAGAATGAAGAATGGAATTTCAGAAGAGGAAATGATGCCTTTCCCAGATTACATTGTGAGTTGAAATGATGTCTTATGTTTTGAAACTAGGCCCTTCGACCAAGTCAGAAATTTTCTACATCAATGCCCTTAAAGTTTTAGTGCGAGTATTGCAGTGAGGAGTAGTGAAACACATGGAAACATATACATTTGACTGCATCTCTCTGCACCTGAAAAATCTTTGCTCCATATTATTGTTAGGGTAAAGTCCAAATTCTTTATCCTGATATGCAAGGACTTTTGTTACTTTTTTCCCCCCTTCCTTGCTCTCCAGTTACATATGATGTCATTTCCTGCCACCCACCCCCAAGTTCTACACCCACTGTTTTCTGAACACCAAGTCATTTGTGTATGTTGAGGTCTCTATTTTTCCTGGTCAGATATACATCAATATTCAATTTCTAATACTCACGTCTTTATCGAGGCCTCATCTGACTATACCCCAACTAAGTCAGTGTCTCCTTCCCCAAAACATTCTGTAGACATCTATGTTAGAGTACTTTCAATTTTACTCCAATCATTCATCTTCTTCTTAAATTGATAATTCTTCAAGATGAGGGATATCTAATTCATTCCATGAGTATTTATTGAGCATTTACTACAGGTTATGCACTGTTCTAAGAAGGCCCAGGCATAGAACAGTGCACAAAACAGATATAGTTTCCCCTCTTATGGAGCTTACCTTCTAGTGGGGGAGACAGAAAATAAACAAACACATATACAATATAATATTAGGTAATTGCTATGGTCAAAATTAAAGCAAGCTTAAAAGATAGAAGCAAGTCCTCTTTGAAGAGGTGACATTTGCACAGAGCTCCCAAATGAAATAAAGGCACAGCCTTGTGAAGATCTGAGAAAAGAGCTTTCAAGTAGAGGGTATATAACAATTGCAAAGATTCTGAGATGGGAACACATTAGTGTGTTTGAGAAATGGAAAGAAGGTTAGTATATAGCTGGAATTGAGTGAGGAAAAGGGAGAGTGGAAAGAAAATGTTAGAAAGGGAGTAGCAATAAGATGATGTAGGACTTTGTAGATTGTAAAAATGAACTTCACCCTGGATGGTGAGGCTCAGTGGATTGAGCACCAGCTTGTGAACCAAAGGGTCACTGGTTCAGTTCCCAGTCAGGGCAAATGCCTGGGTTGTGGGCCAAGTCCCTGGTTGGATGTGTGTGATGTTTCTCTTACACATCACTGATGTTTCTCTCCCTTTCTTTGTCCCTCCTTTTCCCACTTTCTAAAAACAAACAAACAAACAAACAAACAAACAAAATCTTAAGGGGGAAAATAGACAATGAACCTGAACTTACTCTAAGTTTGAAGGGCAGCAGTGGAGGGTTTTGAGCACAGGAGTAACATGATGTACTTGAACACTATGCTGCTGCTCTAGGAGCGGGCAGGGCAGGATCAGAACTAGAGAGACTAGTTAAAAACTCATTATAATGGAAGGGTAGAGGGTAACGTTTCTCATGCTTCCAGGCAGGATGTAACAAATTGCGACAGTGCAATGTTGCTGATGAAACAACTAGAAAAAGTCAGATAAATTATCGTGAAAAACACTGCAGTGCTGTAGTAATCATGAAGACTAGAAGAACTCATTAAATGAACTTTCCAGACCTGTCTGGGAAAGGCTTCTGTGGTAGTTGACACTGTTTCCTTTCCTAAGGGCATTTGCCAATTCAAGGGCATGAACTTAGGATCAGGGTTGGCCTGTGCAGAGGAGCTCTACTGGAGGAAACAGAAATCAGAGAGACTTCTGTGACAGGCTGGAACTTGAGGAGCTCCATGTATGTGGCCAATTTCCCCCATGGAACATTTACTGAGTTCTGAGCCTGTACACTGGAGCTGTGAAGCAAGGCTGAGAGCTTCTAAAATGTAAAATAAAATCTCCCATTATCTTGAGGTTTTAGGAGACAAGGTCTCACTAAAAGGAGGAGCTCTGTCTCAAACACATAGCTGATTTCCTCAAGACTGTGAAATTTTAAGAAGAGAGGTCAAAGAACTAAGCCCTAATTTTCTCAAGAGTAGGACAGTTTTTCAGGGCTAAGGAGATGAAGATCTATTAGGTTCTCAATCAAGAGACTAAGAAGGCCCATATCCAAGAAATACGGATATTTTTAATGCATATTGAACTCTACGTTGGCTGTTGATATATCTTAGCCCTTTAAAGATAATTATATATATATTCATTCTAGAGTTTTATACTCAGTGAAAATATCTTCCAAAAAAAGAAGATTAAATAACATTTTCAGACAAATCAAAGCTGAGAGAATTTGTTACCAGTAGACCTAAACTACAAAAAATAAAAAGGAAGATGTTCAGGCTGAAGGAAAGTAATCCTAGATGGAAGGATAAAACTGCAGGAAGGAATGAAGAGCATAAGAAAGAGTAAGTATGTGTGTAGAATCAAAAAGACTATTGACTATTTAGAACAAGAATTTTAAAAAGTAGCTTGTAGGGTTTATAATACATACATATATACTAATGTATATATGTATATATATATATATTAGTAAATTATATGAAAGCAATAGCCACAAAGGACAAAATGGGGGGTACATAAAGCAAAACTTTGTTAAGACTTTTGCATTATTTGGGGTGGTTGTGTTATTTGTAAGTGGTTAGAAAGCATTTTTAAGGTAGACTTTAATAAGTCCAAGAGGTATATTTGCTTAAGGCATTATATACGAATGTATCACTAAAAGCTAAGGAGAGAATTATGAAATAATAAAACATACTTGATTAATTCCAAGTAAGGCAAGAAAGAGGAAAAAATGAGGAAGAACTTAGAATAAAAAGAAAACACAAAGCAAAATGTAAAATGATAGTAAAACTCAAATAAATAATTATATTAAAAACAAGTTAAATACTCTGGTTTCTCTTCAGAATGCACAAATCTTTTGCCTTTTACTAAAAACAAGTTAAATAAAATAACAGAAAAAATAGACATACTAAGCAAAAAAAAACCCCTCCAGAATCCAATTATATCTGTTTTATAAAAGGACCTTGAAATATGAAATATGACAAAGGAAGAAAAAGCAAGCAGATGGCAAAATATATACCCTGTAAACATTGACCAAAAGACAGTTCTTGTGGCTATGTTATTACCAGACAAGATAGTCTTTAAGACAAGAAGTATGACAACTAAAAAGGGCATTTCATCAAGATAAAATATAGTCCTGTGCTGCTTAACAATGGGGATACATTCTGAGAAATGTGTCATAGAAGATTTTATTGTTGTGTGAACATCATAGACTGTACCTACACAAACCAATATGGTGTACGTAGCCTAATACACCCCTTGGCTGTACAGTATAGCCTATTGCTCCTAGCTACAAGCCTGTAAGCAACTATAACACAATGAGATTTGTATATCTAAACCCATCTAAAAATGAGCAATACATGATTAATGCATTGTGTTATGATGTTACAAAGGTTGAGATGTCACTACGCAACAGGAATTTTTCAGCTCCATTATAATCTTGTGGGACCACCTTTGTATATGCAATCTGTTGTTGTCCAAAACATCATTATGTGGCTTATGACTGTAGTCAATTCAAAAGGAAGCTATAATAAACCTAAATTCCTATGTACCTAATAACATAAACATATGTAAAGCAAAACTTTAAAGAACTAAAAAGAAAAACAGACAATTCCACAATTGTAAATTGGAGATTTTAACCTCTCAGTAACTGATAGGTCAAGAAGTGGAAGAAAAATCAATAAGGACAGGAAAGATTTGAGTAATACAAATAACCAACTAATAACATAAATAAATAACCAATCACTCTGACACATATAGGACACTACACCCAATAAATGGAAATTATACATTCTTTTCAAATGCTTATGGAATATGTGGGCAAAAAAGCGATCTTCAATAAAGTCCAAAGAAGTGAAAGAATACAGAATATTCCCTAACTACAGTGGCAATTAAATAAAAATTAATAACAGAAAATTAATTAGAAAACCCCCAAATACTAAGAAATTAAGAAACACATACTTGCAAGTACCTTGTATATCGAATAAATTAAAACAGAAGTAAAAAATGTTTGGAACTTTAAATTCATAAAAATATGATATATCCAAATGTGTGAGGTTCAGCTGAAGTAGTGCTCAGAGGGAATTTTATAGCTCTAATGTTCATATCAGAAGAGAAGAAAGGTGAAATATCAATGATCTAATCTTTTATTTCAAAAACTAGGAAAAAATAGCAAACTAAACTCAAAGAAACTAAATGTAAGGAAGTAATAGAGATGAGTGAATAAGTCAATGAAGAAAGGAAGTAGATATGTAATAGAAAAAATTAACAAAGTCAAAGGTTGGTCTTTGAAATGATAACCCTTTAACAAGCCTGATTAAAAAGTATATAAAGAAAACACAACCTATGAATATCAAGAATAAAAGAGATCCTTCAGACGTTGAGAAGATAACAGGATGTTATAGATAAATCTGAAATTTTAGATGAAATAGCCAACTTCCTTGAAAAAACAGAACTTGTTAAAAGGCACATAAAAACAGAATATGAAGAGCCCTATACATAATTTAAAACTTGAAATTGCAATTAAAAACCTTTCTGTACATAAAATTCTAGGCACAAATGCTTCACTGGTGAATTCTAGCAAACGTTTAAGAAAGAAATGATAATAAATTGTACAAAATATCTTTAGATAAATAGAAAAAGTAA